TTCTACCCCCATTTGAAAAATAAAACTCCATAATACCCTATTTTCAAAATTATTTACAGAACTGCCCCATTTTGAGGCAAGTTTGTCCAACCAGTGGACGAGGGAGTGTTGAATGAAATTATGGTGTACGAGTTCGTCCACCCAGTTGGCGAACTATTGAATGAGTATTGGGCCAAGGAAGCTCGTCCACTGGGTGGACGAGCGTGTGTTGGGTTGGTTGTTTTTTTGTTTTTTTTCTTCAGATTTTAATTATTAATGATTTGAATTTTAATTATTAATGTTAATATAATTTTAAAGATTTTGATTAATATTTAAAGATTTGATAATTTTAATGTTAAATATTTATAATTTAAAATATTTATAATTTCAAATTTAATGTTAATGTTAATATAATTTAAAGATTTGATATTTAAATATTTATAATTTTAAGTATTAATGTTAATATAATTATTTAATTATTTGAATTTGAATTTTAATGTTAATGTTAATATTTAAAGATTTTGATAAATATAATTTTTATATATTAATTAATAAGTTATATACTTAATAATTAAATAGTGAGTTAATTTTGAATGTTAATAATTAATAAATTATATATTTAATAATAATTAATAATAATTACAGGAAATAAAATAAAATTATTAAAACTGTTAATAATTTTAACATTACAAGATTAAATTACAACAATAAAATTGATTAAATAAAAATACATTTCATCGAAGATGACCCCCAGTTTCACACCTAGGGGTCCTTCGCTGTCAGTATCCCCTTCCCAAACGCTCGTTTGCAGGTGATTGAGATGAGTCGAAAGACAAATCTTCATTGTGATGTGTTGTCGGGGGGTTTGTCTGCCTTGAAGAGGGTCCTGGTTGATCATCGAGAATATCATCGATGTTAAAATTTGGCATTTGCATCAGTTGCTCCTCTGTCAGCAAAAAATGTTGGAATGAATGTGATGGTTGTGGTGGTTGTGGATAGGTTTCGGGTTGGGTTTGTTGACGGGTTGGGATGTAGATGTCATCAGGCGTGAAGGTTGAGGCGGGTTGAGAGAAGGTAGTGTTGAAGGTTTGATATAGGAAATAAGGGTTGGTTTGGTCAAAGTTGGGCGGTGGGCATGGGGTGAACTGTATGGGTGGTCGGAGGTAGGGTTGGGGCTGATATTGTTGGTTGTACTGGTAGTTATAGTTATGTTGAGCTGACGAGAATGCGTACCCCCCAAATTGAGAGGTATAGGTTGGTGGCCCTTCCTGATGCATTGATGCGGCAGTTGGTTGTGTCGACGATGATGCTTGCGTCCGTGGGTCAGTCAAAAATTGATCCGGAGCAACATGCACATAAGGAATGGCGCGGAACCAAGTTAAATACTCTTGGCTTGGCTTGCGTTCACCTAATACAGCGTCCCCCCCTTCAAAATCACATTTCTTATGTGTCTCCATTCTCTCACCTCCTCCTTGTTTAACTCTCGCCAATGAACTTTTTGCACTTTTCGCATGGTCATTGCGTGGTGTTCCTTTAGACACCTGTAGGGGAGGGATTTCTTGGTCTAATCCAAACTGGAGTCTTACCCTATCAGTTTGATGCATCTCAATGGTGTAGAAACAAATAAGGTAAGTTGTTGCACTCCAGATTTGGCTATCTCTTAGACTAAGCACCGGATACTGAATGCACGACCTCCATATAAACTGTTACATAACAAAGAAAATTAAGATACCATTAAATTGAAGAACCGACCACTATTTTCACATGGTTTGAAACTTACATCTTGTTCTTGCATATGGTCCAACGTGTTTCGATATCCTTGGAGATGGAAACAAGGATTTGTATGGTAATTCATTCTTCTTTGTGCCCATCTTGTATAACAAAAAAAAAAAAATTGTTAGGCATAGTCGAATAACAAATATATATATATATATATATATATATATATATATATATATATATATATATATATATATATATATATATATATATATATATATATATATATATATATATATATATATATATATATATATATATATATATATATATATATATATATATATATATATATATATATATATATATATATATATATATATATATATATATATATATATATATATATATATATATATATATATATATATATATATATATATATATATATATATATATATATATATATATATATATATATATATATATATATATATATATATATATATATATATATATATATATATATATATATATATATATATATATATATATATATATATATATATATATATATATATATATATATATATATATATATATATATATATATATATATATATATATATATATATATATATATATATATATATATATATATATATATATATATATATATATATATATATATATATATATATATATATATATATATATATATATATATATATATATATATATATATATATATATATATATATATATATATATATATATATATATATATATATATATATATATATATATATATATATATATTATGTACACAAATATGAGTGTTTTATTACATAAATACCTTTGTGCATATGGATACGAGGGTTCCACTGTACTGACAGGAGCGAACAATGGTATACGTGTGAATACCCAAGAAGTTAGTAGGAGAGCACAACCACTCATGCTCCTAACATCTTTTACTGCTGCCTTGCACATTTCTCTGTATAGTTTTGCAAGACTGCTGCCTTGCACATTTCTCTGTATAGTTTTGCAAGGCATGCAGAACCCCAACTATAGGTGCCGCATTCAACGAGATCCCCTACGAAAGAGATCCAAGAAGAATGCAAAAGGTTCTGACTTTTGTCAGGAAACAAAATAGTTGTGATCACAAGTAAAATAAAAAATTTAGCTTCTAATAAAACATCTTCTTGTGTGGGGGTACGTTTATTTTTTAAATCTTCATATAACCTCTCTAGCCAAGTGATCCTAACAAAACCTTTAATTTTATCTGCTTCTGTTGGTTCCACCCCCAAGTAATCCATGTAAACAATATTTGTTACCTCGGTGGGACCATTGATAGCTTTTCCATCAACACATATATGTATCTTCAAGCGTTATTGTGCATTCACCCGTTGGGAAGTGAAAAGTGTGCGTTTCGGGTCTCCATTTCTCCCACAGAGCCACAACTAAACTTGAGTCGACTTTCAAACTATTTATTTTTGAAATGTGTGTGAATCCTGCTATTTCAAGATAAGCCATTATTTTCTGACTCGCTTGAACAGGAGCATGTGAATGGACCCTAAACCTCAGGGCATTAGTCTGCAACAATATTAAACCAACATTATTTACTCACGATTTTTACCACAAAATAATATTTTCACAAACAACTATATAGTCGGATATTAAATCAACATTATTTACCACGACTTTTACCACGAAATAATATCTAAAATATGAAAAACTTACACTAGCATTGATATTTTCTTGTGTTCCACATTGCTCATCGCCCATCCACAACAATGCCATTTTAGTCGGGTATTACGTTTGCAGGAGAGGAAGTAAAAATTGCTAGAGAGTAGGGGAAAGGAAGTAAAAATTGTGAGTAAAATTTGTAGAAAGTTAATTTGAGTATATAGTAGTTTTAATGAAAATAAAATTTTTTGTTTAATAAATTTGAAAGTAATAGTTTGATAAGACCATTGCATGGCAACTAGGGTTTTTGCATGCATGCAAAGTAGGTACCTACAACATGTCGTATGTATGCCAAACAATTTCTGCAGAACTACACACGTTCGCCCTTAGAATGGAAGAACTAGTATAGGACTTCACAAGTTCGTCCTTGAGTGGACGACCTTATAGCTTGAACGTGAACAAGCTCGCCCTTTGAGTGGGTGAGCTACAGTTACCAATATTCCACTCTTCTTACCATATTTCTCCTTTATATTTGTTGGTATATTTGTTTCTATCATAATATTACAAACTTCTATTTTATACATCAACATTCATTACAAAGAAATTCAATCTTACACTCCAAAATGTCCCAGAGAAACATAATTACCACATGCCACGTTAAAGGTGTTGTTTCAACAAATACCCCTGTTGGATTCTCGTTCAGCAATACGGATACATACGCCTTCAAAATTCATGTCAATTCAGATTTTTTTCATTTTAAAGAGAGAATGGAAAAAAAATTGGCACGGTTCGTTGAGGAAATAATTTATCGCCATCCCACCCTTAATGAAGACAACTGTACAATTTTTTACATTATGACGCCGATCAGGAACGACGAGGATGTGAAGGCAATGTTTCGGTGCCACATGATGTTTGGTCAATTACCTACAATTGAGTTGTATGTCCGACTACTAGACAATCCCGAAACATTTCCGACGCAAGAGACACAGTCACACTGGTATGGGATGAGCCAAACATCCAACGACGAACCAACACAAAACAATTTACCTTTCATACCAAATGAGGAGGTTGGAGAAGCAAGCGATGACGATATTCATGAGGAGGTCAGGATGCAAGATATTTTTGGTGACAACGATGACGAAGACAATGAAGATATAGTTGTCGCATCTACGCAGCCGATCCGCGCACAACCCATAAGTTTGTACAACCCGCCTGCACACATGCAAAATATATGTTTTGAACATGACGATACAACCTCCGTGTTTAGAAGTGCTATTCAAAACCATATAGGTGGCGAAATAGAGATCGGGATGGAGTTTGAAAATAAGGAAGTCTGCGTCCTCGCTCTGCAGCTTTGGCACATAACACACAGTGTGGAATATTGGGTGTATCAGAAGTGGGCTAGAGCATTTGACAGAGGGCTACATTGGGGACATATGACATCTAACTTAGCAGAAGCAATAAACTTTGTACTAAAGGCAACAAGAAACCTTCCCATCACTGCATTGGTCCAGTCTACATACTATCGAATGGGTTCACTCTTTGGTAAATGAGGACACAAATGGACCAAAATGCTATCTTCAGGCAAAGTTTTCACAGATGGTTGTAACAAGGGAATGGCTGAGGAGGTGGCCAAGGCTAACACACACAACGTCATGCAATTTGATCGCGAAAGATTCTGTTTCATGGTGCAGGAAAAGATTAATTACAACGATGGTCGTCCAACGGGTACTTTCAGGGTTGACTTGAGGAATCGTTTGTGTGACTGTGGAAAATTTCAAACATTTCACTTGCCTTGCTCCCACGTGATAGCGGCATGTTCTAGCATACGACAAGACTACACAATACACATTCCAGAGGTCTTCACAGTACTTAACGTATTCAAGGTCTACAAGGAAAGCTTTCTGGGACTACCGCACGAGGAGAACTGGCAAAAATATGAAGGTTTCACTCTGTGCCACGACGATTCAATGAGAAGAAATAAAAAGGGGCGTCCAACCAGTAGTAGAATTAGAACTGAGATGGACGAGCTCGAAAAAGAGAAGAGAAGGTGTGGGATTTGCAGAGATATAGGACATATGCGTAGAAAATGTCCCAACGTTGCTGGTCCGTCAAACCGACCGAATAGATAATTTTATTGTACTAGTTTTGTATGTGATCCATCAATTTTTTTTAACTCAAAACAACTTTCAAATTACAACAATACCAGCGAACTACAAACATAAAGTGGATCCGTGACTCCACAAACTCAAAATTAAAAATCAGGATGCTAAACTAAACTCTAACAAACAACAACGACCAACACAAGTGGATCCGTGACTCCTCTGTTGACTTCGCCACTATGTGCTGAGAACATGCAATTGATATCTTCATCATTTTCTATACGATCTAGGTAGTACATGTATGTCCCCTCCTGGCTAGCATCAGTAAGCGTTATATATGGACAATGATACTCGATTTTTCTCACCGTCACGCGACGACCGCCCAGCTGCCGAAATCCGGTGTTAATTGCTGCAACCACGGTTCTGAAATTTCACAGCGGATCTAGGTAAACACTGATTTTTTTCTCTGGTCCATACAAAACAAGAGCTTGCACATACATCTTTATAAATCGGATAAGTTGACACGAATGATATTTGCTTATGCGCAATACGCTTATTTATAAAAAAAAATTACGTTTGAGCTCGGTCATTCAGTGACCGAGAGTCTGTAAAAATAGTTTTATATTAAATAGTTTTTATATAAAATTAATTAAATAGTTTTTATATTAAATAATTTTTATATAAAATTAATTAAATAGTTTTTATATTAAATAGTTTTTATATAAAATTAATTAAATAGTTTTTATATTAAATAGTTTTTATATAAAATTAATTAAATAGTTTTTATATTAAATAGTTTTTATATAGAATTAATTAAATAGTTTTTATATAAAATTAATTAAATAGTTTTTATATTGAATAGTTTTTATATTAAATAGTTTTTATATAAAATTAATTAAATAATTTTTATATAAAATTAATTAAATAGTTTTTATATTAAATGATTTTTATATAAAATTAATTAAATAGTTTTTATATTAAATAGTTTTTATATAGAATTTATTAAATAGTTTTTATATTAAATAGTTTTTATATTTATCAAAATCATTACATAATTAAAAACTAAAAAAAATAGACTTCATACGTTCGTCCACCAAATGGACGAACTTGCACTGAATTATCTGGGCTTCACATGTGCGTCAATTGAATGGACGAACTACAACAGCAAAAATTTCACACAGATTAATTCGTCCACTGAATGGACGAACGTATACGAAAACAGGGTACACTCGTAAATAATTTTAAAAATAAGACATTATGAAATTTTTTTTTCAACATAGGGTAGAACATTAAAAAAAAAATCTCGTTATTATGAAAGTGTAGAATAGGGTGTAAAATAAATTGGTGTCAAAATAGCAAAACTCGGTAGATTATGATACTGAGCCAAACTAGTATTAGATATTTGCAATTTTACAATTCAAAACACCGAGAAATATGTCCGCTATATAAAATATCGTTGGTTGAATGAAAAGTTCAAATAAGCAATGCATCCTCCAACTTCGTTTAGGTCCTCGCCGCGAAATGGTGAACCTTCCCAAATCCCTCTCTCCCCGCCGTCTCCTCAAACTCCTCGACTCCCAAAAAAACCTCACCTCCGCCCTCCAACTCTTCCACGCCGCCACACGTCTCCCAAACTACACTCACTCCGCCGACGTCTTCCTCCACATTCTCCGTCGCATATCCCCCGATCCCATCCTGCTCCATTCCCACGTCCCCCACATAGTTCACACCATCCAAAAAACTCAAAACTTCATCTGCCCTGAAGATATCCCTCTCAGTCTCTTGAAAGCCTATGCTAAAACCTCAATGCCAGATCAAGCACTGAAAATCTTTCAAAACATGGGTTTTGTTTTCGGGTGTAGACCTGGTATTCGTTCGTTCAATACACTCCTTAATGCTTTTGCTGAATCCCATCAATGGGACCGGGCGGAAAAGTTTTTCGCTTATTTTGAAACTGCAGGTGTTTCTCCTAACGTGCAGACTTATAATGTCTTGATGAAGGTTCTGTGTAAGAAGCGTGAGTTTCAGAAGGCGAGGAAGTTGGTAATGTGGATGTGGAGTGTGGGTTTGAAGCCTGATAGGTTTACTTACGGAACTTTGATAGGTGTGTTTGTGAAAAGCCGTGATTTGAATACTGCATTGGAAGTGTTTGATGAAATGTCTGAACGAGGTGTTGAGCCTGATGTTACTTGTTATAATATTATTATTGATGGGTTTTTTAAAATGGGTGATTTTTTAAAGGGTAAGGAGATGTGGGAGAGGTTGTTGAGGGTGGAAACAGTTTTTCCAAATGTTGTTAGTTATAATATTATGATTAGTGGGTTGTGTAACTGTCGGAGGTTTAAGGAGAGTTTGGAGATATGGGAGAGGATGAAGATGAATGATTGGAAGCATGATGTTTTTACTTATAGTGCTTTGATTCATGGGTTGAGTGAGGCTGGGGATTTGGATGGAGCTATAAGGGTTTACAAGGAGATGGTTGTGAGAGGGGTTAAAGCTGATGTTGTTACTTGTAATGCAATGCTTAATGGGTTGTGTAAAGCTGGGAAGGTTGACGAGAGTTTTGTGCTGTGGGAGGAGATGGGGAAGTGTGGTTCCCAAAATGTGGTAAGTTATAACGTATTTCTTAAAGGGTTGTTTGATAATGGGAAGGTGGATGAAGCAATGAATCTGTGGGAGGTTTTGGGTGAGGTAGATTGTTGTGTAGAGTCAGCTACTTACGGAGTATTGGTTCATGGGTTGTGTAAGAATGGGTATGTGAATAAGGCTTTGCAGGTGTTGGAAGAGGCTGAAAATAGAGGAGGTGATGTGGATACCTTTGCGTACTCGTCAATGATAAGTGGTTTGTGCAAAGAAGGAAGATTAGATGAAGCGGCTGGAGTTTTGAATTTGACAGATAAGCGTGGATGTAGATTGAACCCTCATGTCTACAATGCACTCATCGACGGGTTTATGAAACATTACAAAGTTGGCAGTGCTATTCAAGTCTTTAGGGAAATGAGCACCAAAGGTTGCTCACCTAATGTTGTGTCTTATAATATTCTTATAAATGGATTTTGTAGAGCAGAAAGATTTCCCGAGGCATACCATTGTGTTGAGGAAATGTTGGAGAAAGGGTGGAAACCAGATATTATCACATACAGCACATTGATAGATGGTCTTTGTCAGGGCAAGATGAACGAGAATGACATAGCACTTAGGCTGTGTTATCAATTTCTTGCAAAGGGATTTAAGCCTGATATTACAATGCATAACATTGTCATTCATAGACTTTGTTCTTCTGGTAAAGTGAAGTATGCTTTGCAGCTATATTGGATAATGAGAAAGAGAAACTGTGTTAATCTTGTTACACATAATACCATTATGGAGGGTTTTTACAAAGTAGGGGACTGTGAAAAGGCATCAAAGATTTGGGCTCACATCTCAGAAGATGGGCTAAAACCTGACATCATCTCATATAATATTACTCTTAATGGACTCTGTGTTTGTGGTAGAGTAACAGAAGCAGTTAGGTATCTACATGATGCTTTGGCTCATGGTGTTATGCCAACTGTTATTACATGGAACATACTAGTTAGAGCTGTGATTTTTTTTGGTGAATCAACTTGATTTAAAATAACTTGGTTTGGATCCTACTTTTATCTATGCGCCTGTTGAGTTCATCAACTACAGGCATATTTGATTGACATACATGCATTTTGGTGGCTTCCCACCAGAAACATGATTAATGATATGTTTAGGTTTGAACCTAAGCTGCATTTGTCGGTATGGGTACATGGGTGTAATACAGGTTGGAGCTTGGCCTAAGTGAGTGCCTGCAGTTTGCAGTTGTCTGAACAGAAAGGGTCATGGGTTTTTGTTGTGGGAAATATTTTTAATCTGCCTCAAGCCATACATGCTTGGCCTAAGTGAGTGCCTGCAGTTTGCAGTTGTCTGAACAGAAAGGGTCATGGGTTTTTGTTGTGGGAAATATTTTTAATCTGCCTCAAGCCATACATCAGTTGGTTGTTTTCTTTAAGGCGTTTGGAGTTTCACACCGCAAATTACTATATTCCTGTGTTTGCTACACTAATTTTGTAAGCTACACCAGATGGAAGATGCAAAGGTAAATTTAGTTTCTAAAGGTACATTTCTAAAACTCTAGAAAAATGTAAATGTTTTTCTATATTGGCATAGGTTATAAAAATTTAATCAGCATCACATGATAACCCAGTTACTCGGATTTTGGTGATTTTAGTGATATCACCAAATATCTTCTGTTGTGGATGCCAAAGCAATCTGCATGATAATATCAGGCCCAAGTTGTAAAACTATACTTGGGTTTATTATGTCATGCAATATCAATTAATAAGCAGTTTTCACCAAAGGTAAATTTAGCTTCTAAAGGTACATTTCTAAAGCTTGAGAAGAATATGTTTTTCTGTATTGACATAGATTATAAAGAATTCAATCGCATCACATGATAACCCAGTTACTTGGATTTGGGTGATTTTAGCGATATCACCAAATATCTTAGGTTGTCGATGCAAAAGAAAATCTGCATGATAATATAGGCCCATGTTGTAAAACTATACTTGGGTTTTTAATATCATGCAATATCAATTACTGTTTTTACCAGAAATTTGCAGTAAATAACACTAAAAATTGAACTCATTTATTTTCCTCTTCATTGTTGATCTTTCTTGTGGTTTTGGTTTCTACTGACATGTTTTGTTCATAGGTGAACTGAGAAATCAAAGCCACAAGAATTGCTCCAAAAACTGCTACTTTTCTCCAATCAGTTGATGGAGAGGCAATAGAATAAACTACTGTAAAGGTCAGCAGGCCAATGAAGAATCGGTAAACATTTTTCCTGATACGGCTTCCAGCCTTTTCTCTGATTACATCTTTAATTTTTTCTGCCTCCTCTTTGGCTTTTGCTTTATCAACCACAGGTACCTTCTTTCTTAGGTTCTTAAAGAATAGCCCTTCATTTCTGCTGTTTTCCATTTGAACTTCAAACTCCTCTAATTCGTTTTCACGTTGTTTAA